CAGGCACTCATAGGCCCTGAGCTTTCGGGTGGTCCTGCAGTCCGGACGTTAATAACAATGACAAACCAGGTGTGGTGGCACAGGGCAGTCAGTAATCCCAGCACTCTAGGAGGCTGAGGCAGGAGGATGGAAAATTCAAACCCAGCCTGGCATTAGTGACTTAGCGAGACCTTATCTGAAAATAAAACATAAACTGGGCTGGGGATTTAGCTCAGTGGTGGCACTGCCTGCCTTGCAAGTGCAAGGTCCTGAGTTCAATCCCTGGTTAAAAAAAAAAAAAAAAAAAAGAATGAAAATAAAACATAAAAAGGGCTAGAGATGTAGCTCAGTGTGAGGGGCCTGGGTTTCAACCCCAAACCAAAAAAGAAAAAGTCTGAGCCTGTTCTCTGGCCAAGACAGATGCCCAACAGCAGGTCTGATTCCGGACATGGAGCTCCCTGAAACAGGAAGAGCTGGGTCGAAGGTGTTAGGAGTGATTCTCCTGTCTCCCTGCTGGATATTGGCAAGCAAGGGTCATTTCGTCTCCATCCCTCTGGAACCGGAGGGCCTCAGACGCTGTGGAGCAGACGCAGAGCTGGCTTTTTATGACCTGGGATGTGGGGCAGCTGTGCTGGGAGGGGCAGTGGCCCAGGCTGGGGGGTCCCAAGAGTCTCAGTCTCAGAAAACACAGCATCCTGTGTGTGAATGACGACCAGCCAGTCCCAAGGCCTCACTTCTACGGCCCTGAGGTCCAGGATTTCCCCGGTGCCTGGTGTTTTGTTATTGTTTTTGTTTTTTGGGTTTTTGTGGAGTTTTTTGTTTTGGGGTACCAGGGATGGAACTTGGGACTTGCATTTGTGAGGCAGGGGGCGAAACCACTGAACTAAATCCTCAGCCCTGGGTTTTTGTTTTCTGAGACAAGGTCTCACTATGTAGCCCAGGCTGGCCTCAAACTCATGGTGACCTTCCTGCCTCAGCCTTTTGAGTGCCGGGAGTTCAGGCGTGCACCACCATGCCTGGCATAGTGTTTTTGTAGTACTGTGTAGTTTTCAAAGTTCTGCAACTTTTGTGCTTACAATAAAATGCAGGCCCCTCATCCTGGCTGGCAAGCACCGCCCACTGCTAAGCCCTTGTCTTGAGAAGAGAGAAGTCCACACTCAGGTCCTGGCAGGAATGCCCAGCCCCACCTCATTTGGGGCTCATCATTGGTGTCCCCAAGTTCCTGTGTGGAAACCCTAATGCCTCATGGGACACAGAATCCTGGGAGGTGAACAAGTCATGCAGGAGGAGGGCGAACCCTGCTCACTGCCCGAGAGGACCAGCGAGAAGGCGCCATCTGCTCCTCAGAGGCTCCCGGCTGAGCTGGTGCCTTGATCTCTGGCTCGGCCTCCAGAATCCAGCCTCTGTGGTGTGTGAACCACTGCTCTGTGACTCTGTTACAGCAGCCTGGGCCAAGCTACAGAGGGCAGAAGCTTTTGTTCCTGGCGGCTTCATGGGGTGTTGTCTGTGAGATTCGCCTCTGTTATGTGGCACTGAGGGTCACTCTGTGACTGTCCCTTGTTACTTTCCTGTTGCACATGGACGGACATTCCAGTATTTTCCAGGTTGGTACTGGTGCAGTTACGCAGCTATGAACTTTCTGGCACACGCTGTTGGGTGGACATATGAGGTGTGATCACACTATATGGTGAATATTTAAATTAAACAATTACTACAGGAAAAGACGCCTCACCACGAATCTCCCTTGAAATACTCCCTCGGTTTGTTTTTGTTTGTTTGTTTGTTTTTTGGTGCTGGGGATCGAACTCGGGACCTTGCGCTTGGGAACCACTGAGCTAAATCCCCAGCCCCAAAATAATGTTTGTCATGTCTAAGCTTTTGGTTTGTTTTTTTTTTTGGTACTGGGGATCGAACTCTGGTCCTTGTGCTTGGCAGCAGGTGGGGAAACCATTGAGCTAAATCCCCAGCCCCTCCCTCGGTTTGCACACACTCATCCCATCGTCCTCGACACTTCCTGCAGCAGCTCTGGAGTCCTCTTTCCTGAGGGTCTCTACCAGGCGTGATCAAAAGTACAGTGACTGCTGCTGCTGAGCGCCACACAGTAGAAAAGCAGGTTGTAAAAACAACTCTGTGTCCTCATCCACCTTAGTCACCAGGTCTGGCGCCCTCTGCCTCTGGCTCTTCCCCAAAGTCACAATGACCAGGAAAGGGAGACGTTCTGAACCCATTCAGGACATCGAGGCAGCCAGGACTGCTCAACCAAAGACAGTATTCTGGGCACAACTGCTCTCGTTACCTGGGGACCCACGTGGTATAATTAGTCATTTTTAAACCACAGTCACCTCCAAATCAGTCATAATCCCAAACCACCCACCTCTGTCTTCATACCCTGTGTTAGGCTTCTCTGAAGGAACAGAACCAGTAGGAAGCATGTGTGTAATTATGCGAGGGGATTTACTCGGTGGCTCACAGGATCAGAGGCGGACTCCACAGTGGTCGTCTTGCCCTGGAGGATCCAGGAGCTGCTCTGCCGGAGAAGCTGGAAGCCGTGGAACCAGGAAGGATCCAGGACACAGCCCCAGTCTGAGGTCGAAGGCCTGGAAGCTCCCCCATGGGAGTCTGACTGGAAGTCTGAAGAAAGGAGATGGATAGGGCCAGTGATTTAGCTCAGTGGCACACGCACAAGGTCCTGAGTTCGATCCCCGGTACCAAAACAAGAAACCAGATTGATGACCAAAGACCATGGTAAAGACTTGAGGAGAATTGTGGGGGACCTGGCCAGGAGCGAATGGTTAAAATACAGGCCAAAAGCGCACAAATAGTTAAACTCCAGGCTGAAAGCATGCAGGCTGTGTGAAAATAAATAATAACTCTGGGGCAAAAAGCACACAGGCTCTGTGAGAATCGAATGGTTAAACAATCTACATTTGCACCAGGAAGTGTAGGAGGCTTCTGGTTTTTCCAAATCTCTGCCCACACGTGCATTGATCTAACTTTTGAATTTGAGAAATGTTTGTGAGTTTGGAGTGATAGCTCACTGTGCTTTTGGTTAGCATTTTCTTAATAACTTAGTGCAGGGAGCATCTTGTACTGTTGGCCCCTTGAATATTCTTTTTTGTTTGTTTTTCAGTTTTTTGAGACAGGGTCTTGCTATGTAGCCCAGGCTGGCATTGGACTTGCAGCAGTCCTCCTGCCTCAGCCTCCCGAGTGTTGGGATGACGGCTGTAAACTACCATGCTCTGCTGTCCTGATTATTGAGTCCCTGCTGTGCGTCAAACATTTTTTGGTGCACATTAACTCATTTAATCTTTATGAAAGCTTGATGACCTAGTGGTATTATTATCTCCATTTCACAGTGTGGAAAGGGAAGCCGGAAGGAGTGAGGTCACAGGCCCGCGTCACACACCAGGAAGTGGGGTTGGAAGGCACAGGTCTCTGCGTGCCTCAGGGTCCCCAGCCGCCCTGACACTGCTTGGGCTGCTGTGCTGGGGGTGAGGACCTGGTCACTTCCTTGGGTCTGTCCCAGGGGCCCACACCTAAGGGCGGGAGAGGCCTTGGGCGGGACAGGAGCCATGGCCAGCCAGGTGTCAGGCAGGACCCTTGGGACCAGTGTCCAGTCGGGGGGGGGGGCACTGACAGGAGGAATGGGGCTGTGGCTGCCAGGCCAGGTTCTGTACGGATCCTTCAGGCCCCTGGATTGCGAGTGAGGAAGAGGCTGACAGTGTAAAACAAGCTGGAGACAGAAATCAGGAGCAAGCAGACGCAACTCAGCATCATTATTTCCACATAATAATAACTCCCACTCCTTGAGTCCAGGCCCCGGCAATGACTGTCATTCTATCTGTTGCGGCTAGGGAGGCCCTGCGGCTCAGTGATAGGGCTGGGAGGAAATCTGCAATTCGAGTTGATGGAGCTCAAGTTCCTCCCCAGCAGCCTGTGAGACCCCTGAGATCAAGGCCTCTCGGGCTTTGAGACTTGGGTGCTGAGCTGGCCGGGTCCCCGGGAGCCCTTGGTCCCACGTTCCCACCTGGCAATCGTCACGGGGCACAGCAGTGGAGGCGGCCCTAGAATGGGCCATGTCACCACCCGTGCCTCCCCATGAGCTGGCGCGGAACGGGGCAGCCAGGACCACGATGCCCTTGTGGGTTGGCATGGCACATGGCCAGGCTCAGCGGCACCGTACCTGTCTGGCAAGTGCAAGGTCCTGAGTTCAATCCCTGGTACCAGGAAAAAAAAATTTTTTTAAATAAGGGCTGGGGATACAGCTCAGTGTGAAGGCCTTGGGCTCAATACTAGAAAAAAAACCCAGATCGTATATATGAGAGGTGTGTTTATATTTATGTGTTTACACATGTGAAATGCTGTCTTTAAAAAGCACATTAGCCCTGCCGTGAGAATTTCTGGTAGGGTGGTGTGTGACTCTTCTGGTCTTGAGTTTTAGCCATTAGTTTAGGTTTGGGGACTTCATTTGTCAAGCACTGGTTATGTGCTGAGAGCCTGCCGGCTGGCAGAAACACCACATACACAGAAAGGAAGCAGACACCTTCCTGGCTGTGTAGAGCTCACAGCTGGACAGGTGGGAGGAAGGAGGGGCGGGCTGCAGCCCCCATTCTGCAGAGCAAGGGAACCCCCACTTGGAATCTTGCAATCCCCCTGCCTCAGCCTCCCAGACTGCTGGGTTGATCACACCCACCTTTCAGGCACTTTTTAGAGCTCCGGTGTGTGCCCTGCCCTGGGCCCAAGGCTACTGGGGCCTCCGGGAGTCATTCAGGTGAGGGGGCCCCTACAGGGTGGCCGGGCTGGGCCCGCATGGGCTGTCTGATGGCCAGAGCGACCTGGCTGGGTGGTGATGCTGCTGGCCTCAGAGCCTGGGTCAGCGCCTGTGCTGGCTCTGGGATCGCCGACCCCGACGGCAGGGGTGGCAGAGGGGTGGCCTGCGTCTCCCATGGCTGTGGCCCCAGTGGGTGCTGCAGAGCAGCCAGAGGGACAGTGTGACCCATGTGACCCTTCCTGTCTTGCAGGGGCATGGTCTAGCCACTCACTGCGCCGCCCCAGCCCGGAGCCTCTGACCCTCGCCGTGTCTGGTTCTCCGCTCGGCAGCAGGTAGGTGGACTTCGGCGATGGGCCTGCCAGCCGGGGAGGAGCGGAGGGGTGGCTTCCGCCCCATGGTGGGTCTTTGGTCCAGCTCTGCAGAAAGAGCAGGGGACGCTGCGGTGAGCACCAGGCTACCCAGCACGCCTGGGGCACAGGTCGGGAAACTGAGGCTTGGAGCTGGCCCTGGATGGGTCGGTTCTGGGTCTTTCTGGGTGGATTGTGCGATTCGTGGAGCCTCTGCCTGGGGACCTGTTAGCGCGTCACTACCTTAGTTTCAGTGGTGGTGGGCGGAGGGGCACAGGCAGGGGCAAGTGCCAGGCTCCTGCTGCAGGCCCAGCTGCTTTCCTGCAGGGCGCCTCTGCGACCGCAGCCAGGATGTCCAGGGACACAGTGCACCCCGCCAAGCTGTCCCTTGCTTTCCTGCGGGCGGGGTGGCTTTTCTAGCCCCAAGGGGGTGTCTCCTCTGCCTATGGGAGTTGACACCCAGGGAGGGACCTCTGCTTCAGTCAGATTAACAGCAAGGGCTCTGTGTTTCCCGCCAAAGAAAAGAAGCTGGGTGTAGTGGAGCATGCTGAGGAGGCTGAGGCAGGAGGATCAGCAGGTTTGAGCCAGCCTTGGCCACTTAGCAACTTAGAGAGACCTTGTCTCAAAATAAAGGGCCGGGGCGGTCGCTCACTGCAGTTGCCCTGGGTTCCATTCCCAGCACCGCAGGAAAAAGGAAATGGACACAAGAGTGCTCGGAAGGCACTGCTTCCTGCTTCCTCCTCCCTCCCCCCAGCCCTGCTGCAGCTGGAACAGGGGTTGGGAGGCTCTGCATCTGGGGCTGCACCCTTGGGCACCACCTGCACACACATCTGGCAGCTCCTGGCTTGCAGGTGCACAGGGGCCTAGCAGGGCCGGGTGAGACCAGAAGCTGGAGTAGGTCAGAGGTTGGGGGTGGCAAGTGTGGCCCATGGGGGTCTGGAAAGTCGGCAAGCAGGAGGGTGCATGTCGAGCCTTCTGTTGTGGCCGGAGTGCGCAGGGAAGGCCTCCTGGCTCGTGAAGATTTGGTGGGACCTCAGCTCTTCCCGAAGGTGTTGGGCTGAGAGGCTGGAGATCTGCTGCTCCTCAGGAGGGTGTGACCCGGTCTCTCCCCTTGCTGGTGTCTGCTGTGGCCCCACATTGCTGGCCAGGCCCCAGCCCCAGGTGAGCTCACACCCCACGCTGGCCGTGGACCTCAGGCTCCCGGAGGGAGAGTCCTCCCCGCGGCAAGGCCTATTTTTAGGACACCCCAGGATGACTTTGGAGTATCCCTTCCTGTGGGTGGCTCCCTCCGGCTTCCACACATGCCCACACAGCACACTTGGACATGCAGGTGCAAAATATGGTGCAGGATTAATTTTTAAAATGTATTACTGCAGGGCCGGGGATTTAGCTCAGTGGTTCTGCCGCCTGCCTTGCAAGCTCAAGGTCCCAAGTTCAATCCCTGGTACCAAAAAAAAAAAAAAAGGTATTACTGCAAAAGACACATTGCCATGAATCCTCCCAAAATCCTCCCCTTTCTTGGATCACACTCATCCCGTCGTCCTTGCCACCTCCTGCAGCAGCTCTGGAGTCCTCCTTCCTGAGGGTCTATGGGGTATGATCCAAAGCATAGTGACTGCTGCTGCTGAGTGCTACCCAGCAGAAAGGCAGCTTGTGAAAACATGACACTGTGTCCTTGTCCACCTAATTCATCAGATCTGGCACTGTGTGACCTGTGTCTCTTCCCTAAAGTCACAATGACCATGAAAGGGAAAGGTTTTGAATCCATTCAGGACATGGAGGCAGCCAGGACAGTGCAGCTAAAGACCCTCAGGAAAGAGGACTCCAGAGCTGCTGCAGGAAGTGTCAGGGACGACGGGATGAGTGTGTTCAAAGTGAGGGGAGGATTTTGAGGGGGATTCATGGCAGTGTGTGTTTTACTGCAATAACTTTATTTATTTATTTATTTATTTATTTATTTTTGGTACCGGGGATCGAACTCGGGCCCTTCCCTTGCGAGACAGCCGGTGGAACCACTGAGCTAAATCCCCTGCCCCTGTAATAACTTTTTTTAGTTGAAACATCTACCTTATGTCTCGATCACACCTGGTATGTGCACACACGTGCACACCCCTCCCCACTGTGGGTATTGCCGACTCAGTGCGGAGCCAGAGCCCCATCCTGGCCGCTCTGGGGGTCCACAGGCGCCCAGCAGGGGATTCCTGCCCGCCGGCCTCTCTTGAGTGCCTGCTGCGGCTGCTCTGCCCCAGGACTGTGAGGAAGGCCGCCCCGGGCCCGCTCTGGTCTGGAGAGGACTCAGAAGGCAAGGGGAGCACAGCTGGATGGCTGGGCAGCTTTGCTCAGAGCCCCGGGGGCCCCAGAGTGAACAGGTGATCAGCCGTGCTGCCCCCCACGCACGTCCCGGCCTCTCAGGTGGAATCGCACCAATACTTCCTTCCGTCCCTCCCTGAGGCCCCCGTGCGTCCTGGGCACACAGCCCAGGGATGGCCCGGAGCTCCCATTTCTCTCTTTGGAGACCACGTGTGCAAATGTGTATTACTGGGGACCCCAGGGATGGCTTGGGGCAGGGGGCCACCCTGGCAGCCAGCCCTCTCCCTCCCTCCGTTTCCTTCCTCCCTCCCTTCCACCCTCTAGGCAATTACTCTGCACTTGCAGTGCTTCCCTGTGCTGGTCTTTATGGGATTATTCCCAGCCTTCACCTGGGCAGTCAGAACCCAGCTCTAAGTCCAGGGGACTGGGGCTCCGAAGGATCGGGCCCAGGCTGGAGGTTCATCTTGGAGTCGCTGCTGGCTCCCTGCACCACTGGTGCCCAGCGCCTAGGCACAGACCCTGGCAGAGGAGGAGCTCAGTCTGGGAGAAGGCAAGAAGGGGCACGGAGCCAGGCATGGCCATGCACACCTGTCATCCCAGCACCCTGGGAGGCCGAGGCAGGAGGATCACAAGTCGAGCCCAGCCTGGGCAACCAGTGACTTAGCGAGACCCTGCCTCACAATGAAAAAGAAAAAGGCCTGGGGTTGTAGCTCAGTGTGGAGGCCCTGGCTTCCACCTCCAGTACTGAAAAAAACAAAAAAGACTCAGGCCTTGCCTTCCGAGCAGAGCACGTACACTTCAAGGGCCTCTTGCAGTCTCCATCCCCGGCACTGAGCTCCATGGTGTCATCCTGTAGCTGCTCACTTACTGGTGTCAGCGGTCGGCTCCTGAGTGAGGCCCTAAGCTCCAGCCCAGCCCTCTCCACAGACTCCGTGACTTCTCATGCTGTCATCTGAAGCAGAGGTGGCCAAGGGCAGCTTGTCGGCGCCGTCCCCCTCCTGATCCACATGTTCTCTGAGGAAGCTGGAGCCGGCCCCTGAGGGCCACGCCGTCCCCGGCCGCATCCCTGTGCCGGGCAGCTCCCTCTGGGTCAGTGCCGTCTCCTGTCTTACTGAGAAGTCAGGCCTGAGTGAGAGCACAGCCCATGGCCTGGAGGTCTTCTCCACGTTTGAAGGACAAGGACCTGCAGCGTTTGGCCTGCAGCGCTGAGCGTGGCACGGCGGGAGGCGTGGCCAGCGTCTCCGGTGGACCTTGTCCTGGGGCAGTGCTCTCTGCCAGTGTGCACGAAATCTCTGGAGGCTGAGTGTGTCTTGGAAACACTGTTTTGCTTTTCAGTCCTGAGGACTGAGCTCAGGGCCTCCACACTGAGCTTCATCCCCAGCCCTTTTTATTTTTTATTTTGAGACAGGGTCTTGCTAAGTCACTAAGTTGCCCAGACTGTGCTCAAATGCACCACCACGCCCAGCTTGTAGACACCTCTGAAGTGTAAACTTCACGATTACATTTCTTCTCATAGGCAGCTCACAGCGTGTGGCCAAACTGCGATCAGATCACTTGGGCCACATGAATTGAAAATTTGGGAAGAGCTCACTTGGGGCTCGTAGTGGAGAATTTAGTCATCGCTCAGGCAGGACCTGGCAGAAAGTCAGTGCTCTCCCCTGACTGGGAAGAGAGCTGAGCCATGGACCTGCTAAGGGCAGTTGGGGAGAGCCCTGCGGGACTTGCACAGCCTCCGCTGGGGCGGGGACTTGCTTTAGGGCTGGAACTCCCTTCCAGAGCCGAGCTGTTCCAACTCGGATTTTATAGCAAGGGAAGAAAGCACCTCCAGGCCTTCAAGCCCAAGCCCCAGTTGGCAGTGACAGCCCTGCGTATAACAGAGTGCTTGTCACCGAGGCCGGCTTGTGCCAGTTCCTGCCCTTCGTTGCTTCCGGTATCTCTTTACCTTTATCCATCTGAACTGCCCTGTTAGTCCTTTGTCTGAATTCCTAGGGCTTGATGGGATCTTTTCTTCTTCCCCTAGTTGCCTCTCCTCCCCTCAGCTTACATTTGTTAATCTAGCCCTTTATTCCATACTCCTATGTATTGTTCTATGCGTTTCTGTGAATGTTAAGCATGATTTATCAATTTGTCTGGATTATGAAATGCCCAGGAGACTAGTAAAGCCCATTTCTGGGTGAGTCATGGAGGGGGGTGACCTTGGGGTCCATATCTGGTCCCTCCCTTTCCTGTCTGGCTCTATTCCCCTGTTCTACTTCCCGGCCACCATGAACTGAGCATCTTTGTTCCTCCACTCCCTTCTGCCATGGTGTTCATGCCTTGGAGCAGCTGACCATGGACTGCATCGCCTAAAGAATGAGCCAGAGGGCCGGGGATTTAGCTCAGTGGTTTTGCTGCCTGCTGAGCAAGCGCAAGGACCCGAGTTCAATCTCCGGTACCAAAAAAAAAAAAAGAAAAAGAAAGAACGAGCCAGATGAAACCTCTGCTCCTCCTTTGCATTGTGGGTGTTGGCCACTGTGTCCCTGCAATGGAAAGCTGAATGATGCAGAGTCTACATTATTCTACATTGCTCTGCACTGGTCACGGGCCCATAGCTGCGCAGCAGGTGATGGTGTCCCCAGAACCCTGTCCCTGTGAGCCGCTGACACCTGGATGCTGTGCAGGTGGCTGCACCCCAG